GATCACGGTGCAGGCGTCCCCAGGCCTGGAGAAGAGGAAGAACTCCCCTGACCTGGGCACAGGCTCCTCCCCCTCCTTCGGCCCCCGATTCCGGGCCATCCAGCGTAAGTCCCGCTCCCTCCTGTCCCCCCGTGACCCATGTCCTCCATCCCTGTCCTCCACAGGTCCTCCCAGTAACTCCTTTCTCTCCTGCACACAAACACACACACACACACACACACACACACACGCGCATACATATGTACAGACACATGCATACACACACAAGTAAATGTGTATGTGTATATATATATATATATATATATATATATATATATATATATATATATATATATATATAAATATACATATATATACACACACACACACACACACACATTTACATGTATATAATATTAATAAATCCATATTCCTTCCTTTCTCAGACAAGCTCATGCCAAAGTCTTACCCAGTCAGACTATCACGTCTCATGCCGTTTGCTTGTCCTATGTTTTTTTTTCTACCAGGTGGGGGAGCTCTTGCTTTACCTTTAAAGCAGAAAAACAAATAATTGTTGGCTGTTTCAGCATGCAAACAGTTCATACTTTTAATGTTTTATTCATCTGTTACCCAGTTACTCTTCTAAGCTGTCACAGAGATTGAACATTGACAATGTAGCTGCATGGGTTTGCGGGGGAAATGCTACACAGATGGCTATTTACTGTATCTTCAAGGGTCTGAGCAGCTCCTGACATCATTGTGAATTTTTGCATTTTCTGTGCGGTAGGAAGGAAATAGTCTTCATGGAGCACACTCTGGTTCAACAGATACTGCCTTTCATTTGAAGAGGGAAAATCACTTCCTCCTCTTTCCTCAAGCCTTATTGTGATAAGCTAATATCACGAATATCACTACTTTTCTTTAAAAGTACTGTGTGTGTGTAGCTGGTTGTTTCTGTTTTACTGTCAGTTTCATATGAGGTAGACCCATCTGGTTGAAACATGAGGCAGCCAGTCTCAAACTATTACAAGTAACAACTTGAAATTCAGTTTGTCATGCTGTTTTGTTTGTTTGAGTAGTTGGTGCAGGTCCAGCTGAAACCCGTTTGGGACAGAGAAGGTGAAACGCCTTACATAATGCACTCGGTCTGTCGCAACACAGGTGTGCTTATTCTTTGGTGTTTCAACACGACAATTCACAGAAAGCACAGCCCCGCATAATTAAAACCCTCAGAAAGATCAGAAGAACATTTTGTTTGTAGATAGTTGGATATTAAAGCGCAGCATAACATAACCAGATAAGGCTAAATTCCTAGACCAGCCCACGTCTGTGGTTTCTCCATTAGACTGCATTATAAAGACTTCTATAGACTGTGTAGGCTGTGTAGGATGTAATCTCTCAGTCAGGTGTCCAATAGACACCTAGGCTTTTATATTTTATTCCCTCAACAGAAACACGCACACGGCAGACCTTGTAAGCCTGTGTCACTCACCTGCGGGCGATTGTTGAAAAAGCAGCATTCCTAGCGTGAGCCAACAGTAGAAAGTGTAGTTTGGCTAGCATGACGTTATACACAATCATAGTCATGTCCATTTAAATAGCCCAGGAAGGGGTTACTGGATCATTAACATGAGCAAACTAGCTTATTTGCTACACTACATGGCCATTTAGATACTATTTGGGAAACAAGTAAACACAGAATATAAAACAGATTTTCGCTCCACCTCCTGCCCGTTGCAGCCTACCTGAATGGAATATGTTGGAATTTATTGGAACTTACTGGCATGACATATCAATGTGTTTTTGCAAGGAGAAGGCTCCAGTTACCCCTTAGAACAGCCCAGACGTGCTCCCCCAGGTTTCGGCTTTGCCTCCACAGACCGGCCCACCTTTTTTTCCGCTGCCACAGAGCACAGGGGACGCGTCCCTAAAGACGCACGGTCTCGCACAGCCCCCGCTGTGTGCAGGGGCGGCAGTGTAGCATAGTGGTTACGGAGTGGGCGACCAAAAGGTTGCCGGTTCGATTCCCCGCTGGGGCACTGCTGCTGTGCCCTTAGGCAAGGCACTTACCACACAATTGCCTCAGTAAATATCCAGCTGTATAAATGGATAACACTGTAAAAAAAAAAAAAACTGTAACTGATGTAAGTCGCTCTGGATAAGAGCGAAATGACGGTAATGTAATGTAAATGTGCTGTAATGGGTGCTGTTCCGCCCACTGTGGCATGCAGAGTAAGGTATCTCCAGAGTGTCGGATAGACAGAAAGAGGTTAATTACCTCATCTGGTATGCTCTCAGGTTTAACCCCTTCTGTGCTGATCAGAGCAGGTGATGTGCTTTAGTGGAAGCTATGAGAAGGCTGTATTTCTGCCATAAATGTATGCTATCTGTCTTGTTGGGGCGGCAGTGTAGCATAATGTTTAAGGAGCAGGACTCATAACCGGAAGGTTGTTGGTTCGATTCCCTGCTGGAGCGCTGCGCTGTGTTGGATGTGAGCAGCACGCTTGCGGCTGTGCCGGATTGGGTTTTGGTTTGGTGATTTGGAACGCATCGGTTCGCGCCGGCCCTGCGGTGGCGGTGCCAGTCTCTCAGCCCGGTGCTGCTTCCCCTCGGGGCCGTGCTTCCCGACAAACAGAACCACCCTGGGGCCTGAAGCACCTTAATAAATCACTGCGTTGTTTCGTCCCGTTTTTGTGTCTGGTTTTCTCCCGCAGGCACTTCATGCAGGCAGTGATAAAATAATCAGCTCACTGTTAAATATATTTAGCAGTTATTCCCTGTCTGCATCATTTCTGCTTAGTTTCAAGCAAAGCGGTAAGGAATTAAAGCAGTTAGGACAGTCTAGCATGAGGGAAACGTGAGCGCTGTTGCTTGAATTGGCTGTAGTAACTGGGACTGCAGGTGAGCAGGGTGAGCTGTGATGTTCCCTCAGACAGTGCACAAGGCCCGGCCTGTGGTGTCTCTGCCTCAGAGAGAGCAGCAGGGGGCGCCGGTTGCTGGGTGTGATGTAGTGAACAGGGAGGCAGTGAGAGAGGAGACAGGCTCCTGAGACCAGTCCACCTGCAGCAGCGTGCAGAATCACACATTTTAGCCTCCGGTGTGAATTAGCACGGATACACACATGCAGAAATACATATGTGATGTGTAAGCACGTGCCATTCACATCTCTGGCATGAATAGAGTGTAGGGAGGTGTGTTAACATCTCTGTCAGAATGTGCAGTGGGTTGCCCACCCACATTTTTATTTATTTTTACTCGGGGGTGTGTGTGTGTGTGTGTGTGTGTGTGTGTGTGTGTGTGTGTGTGTGTGTGTGAGAGAGAGAGAGAGACCTCATGCATGTGTGCATGTACTGTATGTGTTACAGTTTAAACACTGGAGATCTCTCTGTTTCTCTTTCTCTCTCTCCCCCTCTCCCCTCTCTCTCTGTATCTCCCGCTCTCCCCTTCTCCCCCCTCGCTCTCCCCCCCATATCTCCCTCTCTCCCTTTCTCTCTCTCTCTCTCTCTCTCCCTCTCTCCCTCTGCCTCTGCCTCCCCACCCCCCCTCCAGTCAGCCCCAGTCAGAACAGTAGGGCGTTCGGCCTGAGCTCAGTGTGGCCCCTTGAACCCCCCCTGCCCAACCGGCAGCCCAACGGGGAGCGAAGGATCAGGCCCCACTGGACCCCTCAGAGCCCCAAGAGCCCCAAAGTCCTGCGCCTCAGTTCCCAGGAGAACAGGTACGGCGCCCCGACCCCCCCAAAAACACTCCGTCTGTTATTCAAAAATCCTCTCTACTGCTACACCACAGTGATTCTGTTTCTCTTTTAAAAATCCACTCCACTGGTACACCAGACTAATATTGATTTTCTATGCAGGGTCTGAAAGTGTTCACAACTGTCCCTCTGTCTGTGGATCTTTGTGTGTGTGTGTGTGTGTGTGTGTGTGTGTGTGTGTGTGTGTGTGTGTTTCAGTCTCTCCATGAGAGCCAAACTCCTGGAAACGGACAGCAGTGAGAACGGGCATTTGCAGACAGATTTTGAAGAGTACAGACCCTCCCCGCCACAGTCTACCCAAAATGGTAACCACCTTAGACACTCTACACACGCCCTACACGCACCCACCTGACTTTCCACACCTCGTAAATAATCGATAATAATATAATCATAAATTAGCTAATGGCTCACCTTGTGTTAACTGCTGCATTTTTCACATCTTCCTTACAACAATACAACAGAGACAAGTCCATGCAGGTCTATTTGCTGAATGTATTTCAGTTCACTGCACTAGTTTTTGCAGTCACCAGTTCAGGAATGTTTTCTGAGCTTATTTGTGCAGCTGAAAGGACTGCAGACATTAGTATGGCCGGTGTGTGACTGTGGACGTCCCTCTCTCTGCCAGGCTTCTCCGTGAGGGAGTTCCCCAGGACCGCTCTACCTCAGGGGGATTCTGGCAGTGAGGAGGGGGGGTCCCCGGCGGGCTCACCCAGGCCCGAGCGAGGCGTGGGCGGAGCCGTTAAGGTCACCCACAGGGCTCTTCTGGGCGGAGCCTCCCTGCTGGCCTCTGTCGCGTTGGGCCGGTGGATCGAGGCCCCGCCCAAAGTGCCGCCCCGGTCCCACCCCTCGAAAATGGACACGGAGCAACCCCCAGGCCTGAAACCCCCCCCGCAGACCCCCCGTGGTGGACGACCTCATCACCTTCTCCCACTCTGACCCTGCCCCCCGGCCCCTCCCCGATCTGACCCTGCACCCCCTCGAGAGTTGCCCCGTGCCCCTCACCCCCCCGGCCCCCAACCCTCGAGAGCGGCACTGCCCCGAGCCCCCCCGGCACAGCCCAGGGGAGTGGGCACCCCACACCAATGGGGAACCCGCCTCCGACCCCTGGGGGGCGGGAGCAGACAAGAGGAGGCGGTCGAGCCACAGTCAGCTGGCCTCTCAGCTGGGTGAGAAAGCGCATTGTAACATTATTACACTGTTTAATAATGTCAACTGAATCCAATAGTAATCTTAACTGAATCCAACCACTGCATGTGGTCCAAGCTATAGTGGCAGTGTGGCATAGTGGTAATGAGTAGCACTAGTAACTGAAAGGTTGCCGGTTCGATTCCCCACTGGGGCACTGCCGTTGTACCCTTGGGCAAGGTAATTAATCCAAAATTACTTCAGTAAATATCCAGCTGTATGAATGTATAAAGTTGTAACCTGTATAAAAAGTTTTAACTTATGTAAGTCGCTCTGGATAAGACGGTCTGCTGAATGACAATTATGTAATGTATAGACTTAGTCCAGTCTTGCTTGAGTGCTGGTCTGTCTGGAATAGGCTTCATTATCACCCAAGTGAAGTTATCCAAAACCGCCTCGTACCCAGCCTCCAGACATCCTCCCCAGCTTCCCTGTCTCTGACTGCAGTTCTGTTTGTAGCCACTCCAGGGTATGCTCAGAAAGTCAAGCCCTGATTGGTTCTAAATGTTTGTTTATGGCCTCCCACCGCACCCCTTTGGGCCAGTGGTAGTGTGTGTTTACCACTTCCTGAGGTGTTCTGGAGCTGGGCAGTGTGCCAGGGACCGACAGAAGCTCCCCACTGTAGCACAAATTCAGAGCCTGTCCAGATCCATATCACCTCAGAGCGGTGATGCCATTTTGATGAATTCGTTTTATTCGGTGAAATCATATTAGAATCAGTCATAAAGCCCCATATACCAAACCTGTGCCACTCCACAGCCTCACTCAGGGGTATTTTTCAGCCCTCCTTTTCATGAATTTGTTGAAGAATTTGCTTTGATTAAATAAGGGGAGGGCACTGTGTGTGCTTGCTGGTTATTAGCTTGTAAGCACGGTGTGAATCTGCAGATCCTGTGGATTGTTGACCCCTGAATTGTACCAGGGGCTGATGGGAGCTGTAGTCCAGAACTGGACCCAATGTAAGGGTACTCCACTGAACTCCAGCTGTGGACTTCAGCTCCCATCACCACCTCTGGGATAAGTGCCATGGGAGATTTCATTACATTAAGTTACATTATTGTCATTTAGCAGACTCTCTTATCCAGAGCAACTTACATACAGTAGGTTACAACTGTATACATTTATGCAGTTGGATATTTACTGAGGCATTTGTGAGTTAAGTAGCTTGCCCAAGAGTATACCAGTAGTGCCCCAGCGGGGAAGTGAACCAGAAACCTTTCAGTTAGGAGCCCTGCACCTTGCCACTGTGCCACACTGCATTTCCCTGGAGTTGTCTGTCTCTGTCAGGACAGTCCAGATTAACTCCTGCCTTTGTCCCCTCTCCTTTGCAGTTCTGGACCTCCCGATTTGCTCGCAGGACAGCCCGGAACGGGACAGCCTGACCCCGCCCCCCTTCGCCCTCTTCCCCGACCCGCGGCTCTGGAGCCCCAAGACGCGGCGGCTGGAGGTGAACGTGATCCCGCGGCCCCGCCCGTCCCCCATCCGCCCCCGCATCGACCCCTGGAGCTTCATCTCCGCCGGGGGAAGGGGTCGGGGGGCGGGACGAAACTCTGACAAGGCCGGGGGCCCGGTCTGTCACCCCCTGGGCCACCAGCCCTCCCCCACCAACCCCTTCACGAACTGCGACCCTTTCCCCACCCCGGACTGCGACCCCTTTGCCCAAAGGGTGGACCCCTTCGGCAGCCCGGAGCCTCCCTCGCCCTTCGACCCCTTCTGCGCCCCCTTCCGTGCCTCCCGCTCCGCCCCCTGCTCCACCAACGTCAGCCCTTCCCTGTCCGCCCTCAGGGTGGCGCCGCTGTCCCCCGCCGACGCCCCCCTGGTGGACCTGGGCTGGCGGAGGGGCAGCCCGCCCCTCGAAGCCAAAGACAAGCGGGAGCCTGGGAGAGCCCTGCTGACAGGCCTCAGCCCCTGGAGGTCCCCGACGCAGCTCACCAATGACAGGTTCTGAGGGACCGCCCCCTTTCCGCAGTGACGGGTCGGACACCGACGGGGACGGGGGGGGGGGGGTGGCTGTCGCTGTCCTCTGCCACTCCCAAATCCTCTAAAATGCACATACACTCCACTGGAGTCTTCCCGTAGGAGGCAGTTCCACACAGCCCTCACGGCCCCGTTACTGCCCCCTAGTGGCAGCGCCTCGTCACTGTTTTTAAAGTGGAAATAACCTTCAGCCACTGGAGCTCTGACGCCAGGGAAAGGGCTGAACGGAGCAGGAGCACTTTCCACTTTCCAGCATGGTCCCGGTCGAGACCTCCAGAGCCGACCACAGGGTGGAGGCCCTGGTGCCTCCGTCACCTCCACCACCCCTCTGCCTCTCTGCCTTTCAGTCTGCATATGTCAGAATGACGTGCCTCTGGTTTCTGCGCTCGTCTCTCTCGAGCCGTGCTACACCTGCGGCATGTTGTTCTGAGGAATTTGCCTTGCTTTAGAGTTTTCCCTCTTTAAACGTTTTCCTGGTCTTTGGCGTACAGCAGGATGTAACGTTAATCTGAGGCTATCAGGTGCTTGAAGGCTGAGTGAGGTGAAAGTGGCGCCCCCTGGTGTCCTGGTAGCACTCTTCCACAGGCCCGGCCTGGGCGGGTGCTGCCCTGGAGAGCCGAACGGTCTGCCTCGGCTCTCTAGTGTTTAACCGAAGCTGTTATTTGGAATGGGGGTCAGCGCACTGGTTGTTGCAGAGGTAGTGCAGTCGCTTATTGGAAGGTAGCTGTAAATCTCACACCCCGAGGAGCTGCTTGTCCTTAACCTATGGCCACACACTTCTGACTCCGTTATTGCGCTGAGATGAGGGGAGCTCATATTTCTTTGGCTGCAGAAGCAGTATCACTTCAGGTCAAACGAAGAGATGCCACAGTCTGTGTCGCAGTCCTGACGTTGGGCTGTTAAATGACAGATCATCTGTGCTTGGCTCGGATGTCATAGCTTAATCTGCCTATATAATTCATGCTTGAAATTAATTTTTTGTCTGAGAAGCAAAATTGTTCCTGGGTTTATTTTTAAGCTGTTTTTCAATGTCTCGCTGGATGCATCAAGCACGCATCTAAGCAGATGACCTCAAGAAGTCTGATTGGTAAATTACTGATCATTGGTAAATTACTGATCACTGGTAAATGGGTCTGATCAAACACCTTCCCTCAGATAATCATTTTCTTTGAAAAACAATCCTCCATGCCCCTGAAAATAACATTCCTGTAATGGTCGGTAATGGACACACTGTGGTGAAGGAGCAGAGAATCCGTTTATACGGGGAAGGATTAGCGCATGAGCCCTGAGCATGTGCTAGCTCGTGACAGGGAAGGTGACAGGGGACGCACCGTGTATCGATGACTGAAGCAGGAAATAAGAAGTAACCTCGCACATTCTAGTAATGCCAAAGAGAGCGATCGCTCCAATCTGCTGCAGGCCTGCAGGGTCACAGGACACTTCTGCTCCTAATCGATACCTGGAAAGTAGGAGGTCTCCAGCCCTCGATGATGGGTTTCGTCCAATCCCGTTTGGACGCCTTCACGGATCTTATTGGTGGAAATCCATCATGTTGTCTGGCCCAATCAGCTGACAAATGTTGCCACGCTGTGCAGAAGATTGCTCACTTCTGATGAGTGCAGTGACAGGCAGGAAGAACCGCAGGGAGAGCCGAGCTTTACTGAGAAGCATGTGGAAGAGCTCATGTCCACAGTAGCCAGAGAAGCAGGTGACCAGTTAACATCCACATGTTAATATCCACGTCACTGTACAGTGCAGGTTCTCATTCAACAGAAGTAGAGAAATCTATGAAAAAAAGCAGTTTTCAAAAATAATCATGATGTAGGACAAGCTGGGGTCTTAAAGGAGAACTTCATCATTAGTCTTCCTCACGCCTTCTCCCTGTCTCAGATCAGGCTAGCCCCTCTGCCACTCTGACCCATCCACCAGTGAACTGCTGACTGGCTGTTTCTCAACCAGTAGCTTCACCCTGTCAACCCCCCATTAGTGTTTTGTGCGTGTACTGTACTGTACTTTGTTTTGGAATTCTGCTGAGTCTAACCTGGCTAGAGGCAGTTCACCATAAGGACAGGAAGGTCTCTGGGTCTGTATCAGCTGATTCTCATTGCAGGGGTGCGAGGGATTCTGGGCATTGTAGGTTTACTGTTCATGCAGGGCAGCAAGGAACTCTGGGTTTTGTAGGCTGACTCGGCACAGAGCAGAGCAGGACGTAGAGTTTTGTAGTGCTGCAGGGCTTGCTTGTACAATCCACCAAGGGCAGGCGAGTTGGTCATGACTCCTAGATTCCTCCCCTTGCTGGCGTTAGGTCATCATGAAGTAATTTAGTTCATAATATTCATTATCTGTCCCCCCTGTTGTCTTTGAGATCTCACCTCATCCTCACTGTTGGCACCCCAGAGGTGAACCTCACGTCCATGTTTGCTTGGCATGAGAACGCTCGAACAACAAACACGCACGTTGTAAGCTGCAGCTTGCTGCTCCTCTAGCCTAGCCTTGTGGGTCTCTCTCTGAGGGAGGAAATCGCTCCCCCTTGACAGGAAGATGTTACTGTGACTTGGTATCCATTTGGGTGATGCCTTTATTGTCTGTGACGGGGGGCTGCAGTGATCAAAGCACACAGCATTGACAATCGCCCGGAAGGTGCAGTGCAATTAAATCTGCCTTTGTTTTTAATGCCAAAGATAAATGCCAGCGAGATTCCTCTTGAAGCGCTGTATAGCCTCCCATTTTCACTTTGAAGGATCAGGGAGAGATGGAGGAGAACAGCATCACAGAGGAGGCTTTTTGTTAAGCAGGTCTATGTGAAACCTTAAGCCTTCTCAATGCAATGCATCTTAGTCCCCATGAGGGTACAGTCCCTCTAAACAGCTGCAGAGGACTGTGTTGGGAAGCCCTTTATCAGATAGGAAGAAAAATGTCATACCCTGATAACAAAACTAGATTTCCACAATTCATACTTCACTAATTTAGGCCCTGGATAAGATCTGCAAGAACACTTACCTCATTCACAATGCAGTGTCCTTTCTATATATATATATATATATATAATTTTTCCACTAAACCCTCAAACATGGTTTGTGCCCACCTGATCAGACTTTTACTTTGCTGCACATCGTTTGAAGGCGGGGGACCGCGGCGAAGCGCGTTTGAAGCTCCTTTAAAGACATTCCGGATTCCTTGGCCGAG